GAAAGAGAAAAAGAGAGAGAGGGAGAGAGAGAGAGAGAGAGAGAGAGAGAGAGAGAGAGAGAGACTGAAATTCAAAGCATTTAGTGTTTTTGCAAACATTGTGATTTTGGGATATCAAAAATAAATTAAGTGAAAAACTAAATATATATATTTTTGAATATATTCCTTGCTTTATCTTGTGTATAATGTAGTGGAAATCTTTAGCTTTTTTATCATATCCTCCTCACCTCATTTATGGTTTCCACATATGTAAGCACTCGAAAAACTCGTGTTGGCTTGCATAAGACTTTTTTTTCAATGTAGTTATGTCAGCAGTTTGTGTGAGAATAAAATCAGTCTTCTCTCTCACTAGATGTGTTTTCTTCCTGTTTTAGAAAAGAAGCATGGCAGCGAGAAGTAGCAGTAAGTTCTCTTCAATTAATTCTTAACTACTACTCTCATCATTTTTAGTTGTTAATCAAAACCTAAGGTGGGTTGTGTTTGGGGTGCAGGGGGAGTGCTGTTTCAGCACAACTATAGATTGAGATTGGTTACATTTTTTTATGTTGTATTGCATTGGGTTGTTACTGCAATTCCGTATCTTTTGGTGTCTGAATCTTCATATATTTCTGTATTTTATATTACTAGGCTTCTAGCATTTAATGTGTAAGACTTCTTGTGTAAGCTCCTAATATGTTGTCTGACTACATCAATTTGACATTTTGAAATGTTTGGTACTTAAGCGGTGACATTGTTATACTTTCAAGATGGCCACTACCTTTATAGATGGAGGAACTAGAGTTCAACCACAAAAATCATGATCAAACGTACTTCAAAGACTGAATTGTAGGAATAAACCTTTTAAACAAAATCACAGCACAGGTGATATTTGAATCTTGCCCATCTGTCTTTTCCCTCACAGATGACTTTCAGCTTGTTATTCCTGAAAGAGGTGAAAGAGTTAAGATTAATTCGGGATCTACTCTCACTGTGTCGTGCCACTTGTCTCCTGCACTCAGTGCCGTAGACATGGAGATTACTTGGTTTGGCGAGATGTCTTGTATTTGTGCCTATAAGAACCGAGAGATGACACAGAGTGTTGGCTATGAGGGCAGAGCGAGTCTGTTCATTAATGACCTGCCGAGAGGGAATGTGTCTTTAAGAGTGGCAGACTTCAGAGAGTCAGATCTGGGAGTTTACATATGCCGAGTCATCAGTAGAAATGAAACCCAGCAAATAACAGTAAATGTAGCAGAAGAAGGTAAGCTCATTCCACTGATGCGCCTGTTGCACAAGCTAGATGTACACTCGGTTGTAAGACTAATGTAAATATGCCTTAAGTCCTGCGTAGAATTAATATAAGTAGTGGTATGGTAGTCTGCAGTTCCAAACATACCTATAGTAATTAATAAATTAGAGTTTAATAAATAGCAGTCTGTCCAATTAACAATTTTCTTTGTTGACATATGCAGTCTCTGCTATTTTCAAGGACCAGAGCTTCTTTACAGTGGTAAGACAGCACCTATCATTCTTTTTATGAAGAATGTAACATACAACATATAGCACAGTATAACACAATATACAAGAAAATATAGAGGCCTGTACATTGCATGTTATACAAAATGTAGTTAAATTATAAAGAACGTAAAGCTAGATTCATAGGACGTGAAACTGGTATACCACTGGTCTTGAAACAGGAAACAAGGCTCAAACAAATTATAACTACAGTTCTTGCCAAAGGAGGCATACACCTGTATAGAAGTATGTTAACTGGTAACCAAGACTCAATACAGTACAATACCCAAGAGACAATACAGTACAGTTGCAAGTAGCCTCAACAGGATACTAACAATGTTTTTCAAAATAAGAAAAATGTGCAAATATAAAACAAAGATTTTTGGGAACTGTGTATATGAAAAGCTTACTGAGATGATGTGGTTGAATACAGGAACCAAGACTAAACTGGCAAAACCAGTCCCGATAATCAAAAAGTATTTATGTATGTACTGTTGGATTGTGTTCCAGAAGTCAAGAATGAAAAATATTAACAAGCTTAATTATTTAATATGACACACACAAAAATAAGGCAAACATATAAAATAATCTAGATATTTGGAAAGCTATCAAAGATCTCAATAGCATTTTCTTTTTAAAATAAGGCGAGCAACAGGAACATTATCTGCTAAATACATAAATGTCAACGTTGCAAGAAATTTAGTAAGCTTTGTGTTGTGATTTTTTTCATTGTAAGGAATCAGTGTAAATAAATCCTTGTGTTTTATGTTCAGACGAGCTAAAGTAAATTATTTTTTTCCCCAATCAGAATCACAAAATGGGAGAAAGCAACAGTAAGTTGTCTTAAAACTCTTTGTCATCCTTATAAAACATACACCACTGTTCAGAAGTTTGGTGTTTGATGATAGAATTATCATCACAGTACATCAAATCAGATCTAAGCCATCCAGACGAGCAGCCTGGGGTATATGACAGTGCACTTTAAAGGGGTCATATGATGCGATTTCAAGTTTTCCTTTCTCTTTGGAGTGTTACAAACTGTTTGTGAATAGATAAGATCCCTAAAATATATATATATATATATATATATATATATATATATATATATATATATATATACATTGATAAAAAGAAATGTTTCTTGAGCACCAAATCAGTGCATATGAATGATTTATGAAGAGTCATGTGACACTGAAGGCTGGAGTAATGGCTGCTGAAAGTTCAGCTCTGCATCACAGGAATTAACTATATTTTAAAATAGAACAAAAAATAGATTAAAATACAAATTTAAAATAGAAAATTTATTTCAAATTGTTTCACAATATTACTGGTTTTACTGCATTTTTGATCAAATAAGACTTCCTTCAAAACCATTATGTGAGTTCATAAATCTGTGTGTGTGTGTGTGTGAGAGTGTGAG